TTCCATTGCCCCCATATAACTCCAAAAATATACTCTACTATACTATAGGAATTTCCATTTTGTTTTCTATATCCCCATATACACCCTAAACCCTAAACCCTAAACCCTATACCCCCATGACATTCCCTTATTTCCCTCCCCTGCCTCGGAGTTCCTGCAGCAGCTGCAACGCTAGTCGCCACTGGGAGCCTCGCCTCCGGGATGCTGAAATGTCTCATAAGGGAATATACCAGGTAAGGATTTTGACCTAGGGTAAACAGAATCAAAGGGCACTCTAAAAGGAGCCCTAGGAGGGTAAGTGCTCCTTGATTTTTTGGGTTTATATCCCTATTATGTTCATAAAATCCTAACCTGGAATATACTATAGGGTTTGGGGCTTAGAGTTTAGGGTATGCTGAAATGTCTCATAAGTGCATGTCATGGGCCTATGCGGGAATAATGACAAAGAAAATTGAAGCTACTATAATGGGGTTACAGTATGTTATATAGGAATTATCGGGCTATATGGGGATTATGGAAGAGAAAATGGAAACCACTATAGCCTAGTAGGGTTATAAAGGTTTAGGGTTTTGGGCCATTCAGGAGGGGAGCTACCAATGGGGCATTTAAGGGTATATGTCAGGGGTAGTATATACGACCATGGGGAGTTTTATGAGCCATAATTAGTCTAATCTCCTAGTATCCCCCGTAATAACCTCTATAGTGGCCCCCTAAAGAATCCCCTATATAATCCCCTTTAAGGAGTTTAGACTATGGCACATATGCGGGGCATACACGGCCCCTGGAAGTCCCCCTCCTGCAGCTGCCTTAGTTATCTGGGTTTGTCAAAGTAGCGGTTCCATTCTATGGAGTGCCTATACTGACACCCAGTAAATTGGCATCTGAGGCTGCAACAAGGATGGGCCATAAGGCCAATATGCTGTAGTAGTTTACATTTTCTTTGCCATTATCCCTATATAACCCCAATACACTATAGTAGTTTCATGTAGTTTCCATTTCCTTTTCCGGTACCCCTACTACTATAGAACCCCAAATAACCCTAAGGCAACCTGGGGTAGCTTAGGGTTTAGGATCCGGAGAGGTCAGGAGGTCTTCATAAGTAGAAAGGCCAGGGGTCAAATATGAGCTATAGTCTAAACTCCTAGTATCCCCCTTAATAACCCCTATAGTAGTCCCCTATATAATCCCCTATATAACCCCCTTTAAGGAGTTTAGACTATGGCTCATATGTTAGTTCATGCTGGGGATACCTTGGCTCATCATGTGGCTGATAGGGGGGATGATGATTGTATCCTACATTGGAAATAGCCATCTCTAAGACTTCCTTCACATGTGTCGTTACTTGTTGCAAGCTTTTCTCGTAAGCTATACATAACAGAACCTGAATGAGATCTAGATAGTTTTTTTGGACCATTCGATTCTTGAAAACACGAACTACATCAGCCCCCAAACACGTCTTTAAATTCGAGCGTTTCCCCTCGTGAATAGTAGGAGGGCCGTTTTTTTTTTTTTAATACTGGGCCGGCCTAAGCACCTGAGGAATGATGGTTTTCTCAAAAGGGCTTGCAGCAGAGGCTTGATTAACTGTCAATGTCGTTCCCGTATTCCCTTACCAATTGGGTTGCTGTTGAAGAACGTATTTTAAGTTACTATATTGGGGAAATCACATAAATCAGTATATCTATATATACCCATTATGGCAACTTAATTTAAGTTCCTCAAGACCAACCCAGACAGTTATAGTAGTAGATACTTCTAATAGGTCCAAGGAGACTACAGATCTCAAGCCCCTGTTCTAGCAAAATCGTTCTTTGCGATAGGAAGGAGCTGTGCAACAGGCCCACCATACAGTGGGTTGCGAAGCCAGACAGACTATTTGGTCTTAGGAGTGTGTAGCTTGATTCAGCGTTAGTAATCTAAAAACAAAGCTAGGATAAGAAGGACCAGCTGGTGCTTTTATATAGACTAGGTGGGGCTTTACTACAACCTAAGCTGATTAACAACTTGTGCCTTTCGGTATTTCATATTCAGAGACCTACATGTTGAACTCGTAGTCGGGGAGTACAGAGCAACCGAGTAAAGTTCGACGGCCTCGCATGTGGGATCTTTGACATTGAATCCGAAGTCACCAGGGATCCGTATGCACCCAATGCTTGATCCACCAAATTTGCAACATCCTTGTTCTAAAACTTCTTTTACGGACTCAAACACCCCGCCTACGGAATCCCCACATCAGGAGTATAGTAGCCCAGCGGCTCACAAGCATTCATGTTGGCGGTGTATGAAACGATGTTGGGTTGTGGGCCATACCGCTTCCTTGCACGGCAAGGGGCAAAACACTTAGCACCACATTAGCATGAGCTATAAAATAAACGCCTAGTGAATAACCCCGATAATACTCCCCCATATGACCCCTTCAAGGAGTTTAGGCTATGGCTCACATGATTTGACTCAAAGTTGGCATGCCTACTTGCTTCCAAGCGTCATGTGCACTAGGAGGTCGAGAGCCGACTGCCAAGCTGCCCCCTTCTTGCAGGCACTGATTGCCGCAGAGTATGCCACCACATCGGCCTTCAAGACGAGTGCCTGGGAAATGCAAGGGACTGGCCTAAATGGGGAGTTGGGACCCACGCACATGGTCTGCCGGGAGGCCTTCAATTCTTGGAGGATATGCAAAGCAGACTGCCACTGAGAGGACTTGGCACAGGCACTGATGGACGTGCTGTAGACGATGACGTTGGGATGCAGCCTACTCACATACTGCTAGAAGGCTGTGCCTGATAGCCTCTGATACAGGGATAGCTACAGTAGTACATGAAACCCGTCTCACCCGGAGATGATCAAACATGGGGATCGTCTCAGTTGAGTCCTTGTCAAAGACATCGTCCTGAGGAGCGCCACAGCTGCCAGCCACTGCGATGCCTTTTCGCACGCGCTGAGGGCAGCTCCGTAGGTTACCGCATCCGGCTGAGTCTGCTTTGGAAGCGCAAAAAGGATGGACGTGGCAAGCTCCCACCTCGCATCCTTACCACAAGCACTGATGTTTGCGTTGTAGGTGTACAGGTCTGCTGGAATAGCAGAAGCATGCATGTGTGACAGCACTTCAGAAGCCACCTGCACGGCCGAGCCCCTCTCACAGGCCGTAAAGGTAGCGTTATAGGATGTGCAGTCAGGCTGGAGGCTTCTGTGCTGAGCTTCTTGTAAAAGGGCCAGTGACTGCTGCCACTCTGAACTCCTGCCACAAGCTGTGATGTTTGCGTTGTACGTGATGAGGTTGGGTTGCAAGCGGAGGCACGAAAGCTCGCGAAGCATGCAAAGAGCGTCTGCCCAGCGTTGTGCTCGGCCGGCATGATCGATCAGCCGTGTCTGGCGACTCAATCTCGAAGTTCTGGAAGCTACAGCATATCTCATGCTGGGAGCCACTGGGATTACAGCAGCACTTGTAATTCCACACTTGCATTCTGGCGCTCTTGCTACTTGTATGTCCATGAAACCTGCTTGGGGAGACTGCACGCGATTTTCAACCGCCTGCGCTGTGTTCAAGTCTGCTAGGCGCCCGAATAATCTTCAAACGAGCCTACTGCGAAGCATTGTCGGCCCAAAGATGTCACTTGAAAATGCAAGGAAAGATTTCAGGAGACTCAGCTTTTGGGAGCAGACTTCTCCTCTTTCTTCTTCGGATCCACCTCACAATGGCATGGCCTAACCACATGGGGCTCTTAAAGTGATTCTTCCTCTTGAGGACCCTGGGACAGGATCCGAGACAGAGGGACATCCGCACAACAAGCGCAAGCTTGAGAACATCCGCTTGCCTTGATGTTGGAACCAGCGATGGTTGTTCCTGCCAGCTCATCATGACCCCCAAGCATGCGACACCAGCAAGTCAGAATACCAATAGTTGAAGTAGTATTTTCAGAGCTGCACTCCAGCTCCACAAGAATGACAGCAATGGTCAGGATACTGAAAATCTAATCACGATGAGGGTGAGAATGGCATCATCCGCAACAATAATGACATGGAATGATCCTGATAGTAAAAAGGCACTATGATTTATAGGGATTCCTCTGCAAAGCCAAGACGAGCAATCAAAACAAGTGGAGGCTCGGTCGCAGGCCTGTCTTCTTTCCATGCAAAGCCTTCGCCTTCTCTGCCTGCCATGTTCACCCTGCATTGGGATAAATGGTTTAGTTCTATGTGTATATATGTATATATATATATGCATGATCTATGGATGCATGATTTATGGGTCTAAGGGGCTTGCATACGAGTAGTTCCCAGCAATGGCAAATGCTATGCAAAAGAAGAGGGGAACTGAGACTCAGCAGCAGTCTAAGCCAGGGCAGCAACGGTGGGCGCGTGGAACATAGATTGACTTTGTGACACAATTGCGGTGCAACGGAACGCCAGCTGCACCTGTGTCAACTTGACGATTTGCATAACATCCTCATCGTGCATTATGTGGTCTTTGCCACATGCCTCAGCATCCGCCACAGGGCTTCCGAGACATCGGAGCCAGAATCGACAAATCAAACTAAATCCAGCTTACTGGGGGTTAGTAGGGAATAAGGGAATATGTTATATGGAGATCGCATAGGCATTCTATTAAGTCCCTTTCTCTCAATCTACTAACCCCGAGTAAGTAAATCAAGACTTGCCTGTGGGGACTGCTTCACACTGCTGCCCCAAATCAAGGCATGCTTGAAGTCCTCCAGCAGCGATTCTTAGTGGCCGAGAATGGAAAAGAACATGGAGACTACTAAAATGTGTTGGGGTTATATTGGGATAAATGGATTATAAAGTGGAAGCTACGATTTAGGGTTGAGGGGTTAGCCCATCTTGGCCCCACAATGGAAAAGCTTTCGGATGTATGGGAGCACACAGAAAAGGGATGCTTGCGGGATCAGGCTCTGTGTAAAAGCTGCACTGCGTTTTCGACGGTAAACTGCTTGTTGCCGCGCTGCGGCGTTATGATCAGTGGATCCTTGGCTTCAAGGTTTTCAGCAGAAATGGCGGATCAAGCAAAAAAACATGCCCCGAAGCGGCGGAAAAATCTGGGAACATGCCCTTCTTCTTGGTGTACACCCTGGGGCACATGAGCTGCGCAAGACAGACACGAGAACGGCCTCTGAAGCAAGCTCTTCCAGAGTTAGGCTGGTACTCATTGCACTCTGAATTCAACCTACAACTGTCCAACATCCACTTCGCCTCACAATCTCCATCTCATCCCAGAGCCGTTTCAGCAAGTACTCCTGAGCACCATGATTTGTCTTCTGCAGTTCCGCATGTCCAGCTAGCAGCCAGAAAAGGATGCTCTCTGGAAAAATCTGTGAAGAAACCGTGGGCAGGCTAGGCTAAGCCAAGAAGCATAGTTCCACTTGTTTCGTACCTGAGTATCCAAGATTTTGCCAGCACATTGGATACTTGCGCCAGGAAATGAGGCTTCACAAGACTCTCTCCTGCTGCTTAGCTGCAGAGACTACCACCGAACAAGGCCTTCTTGCCAGCTCATCCACCTGGGCCATATTTCTCAAAGCAAACATCTCTTGCCATGTTCCCTGCATGGAGCGTTCCTTACCGAAGGGACCCCAAATCCACACTTGCTAGAGACGCCCACCTCTTCCAGCCTGAGCATGTCGATCCTTAGAGTTCTTTGGAGCTGTCCGAGGTATCTCCTAGATGGACCCCCCACCCTGTAATAGTGGTATAATGGGAATATAAGAGGACCCCAATATAGTTACTACTATCCTTCATACTCACTATTACAGGGTGGGGAGTTTCCCGAAGGTATCTCGCTGTAGGGCTGCTGTGGAAGTCAAGAGGTCAAACATGGAAAAGCAGAACCCTGCAATATGCAACCCGCTCGCTATGGATAGCCCCATGTGTTCCGTAGCCTAAACTCCTAGTATTCCCCCTTAATAACCCCTTTACTATATCATCACCTATATCACCCCCTTTAAGGAGTTTAGATTCTGGCTCATGTGCATTCCTAACTGCGGTGCCGGCAATCATGAGCCCTGGCCATTCAGGAAGTACCGGTTGCTGCTAAAGCAACTTAAATTAAGTTGCAATAATAGGTATGTATATTTATATATATATATACAGGGTATATGGGGAACTTAAGTTAAGTTACCATAATATGGCTGCATAGTACATGATGGGTTTGCTTTATTATAGTAATCGAAAACAAGTTCCTTGACAGCAACCCTGACTATTGCTGCTGTCAGCAAACGGATGGAAAAGCCGGTGCACTTTGTGGGCTCACGTTGGAGTCTCTCATGACTCGAAATTCAAAATATTCCAAACACCCGAAGCAAAGTTGCGGCGCTCAGATCGACAAAAATGCAACCAAGACTCTTATTGTACACATAAATGCCTAGCAACGATGAGGGCAACAGGAAGCATGTGCAATGAATGGCAGGAACACATTCCTTGTATCCATGCCACGCCCAGCTGCACTTGCAGTATTTCCGATTTCCATCAATCACATCTATGAAATCATCCTCGGTGATGTCCTCAAGTAGAAAATGGTTGGCCGGGACATAAGCCACTGAACATGAGCACGCTGCAGCCATGAGCCTCGCGAACCAATACGTCTGCGTTGTGCATCTTGTACCTCATGCGCGTGAACGTTCAAAATGCAACAGGCCCCTTCTGTCAGTTGACGGATTTGGGATTGCTGAGGTCATGCCAGATCCTGTTGATCCGAAACAAAACGTCCTCAACGGGACTCACGTTGTTCTAACTACGTGCGATCACTCTTGTCGGCCAAGTGACTGCTTCAGTATGGTCGCACACACCTCTTCATCGAAGTGATTGAGCGGCACGGTGGCTTGAAATTTCAGACCTGGCTGCTTCTTACAAAGCTCTCCCGTGGAAGCCGTGCAAAAACAACAAGGATCCCTGCCAGCATGCTCCGTAGAAAGAAACCCCCAATTCAGAAAGCCAAACAAGGCGTGAACACATAAGGGTTAAGGATGGGTTTTATGGTTTAGGGCAATGGGGGACCCCGTAAATTTGAGCTATAGTCTAAACTCCTAGTTCTGGCATCCCCCTTAATAGCGCTATAATCGTCCCCTATATAGCCCCCTTTAAGGAGTCTAGACTAAAGCTCATTTGAAAACAAACTCCTGAAATCTGACGAGACAAGGCTTGGTCAGGCCTCCGCCTTTGGTTGGTCTGACCGTGACGTCTGGTGGCTTTCTGTTGAGGCGGATCCCAACATTTTCCAGCTCCTGTGAAGTGCCAGTAGGTTGATTACGCAGCCTCCGTCAGCGAATCATGCTGGTCGCCTTCCACATATTAAAAACAAAAACGTCACGCTTATACACGCACCGTACACATGCATAATCGAGCAAGTTCTTGTTACCTTCTATGGCGTCAGCCCTGTGCTGCACAACGTTTGGTCACCCCTCAGTCTCCCTCTCTACACATACATAGACTAGGCGTGCTACATTCTACTGGTAGATGCCCCTACATGCCAGCTTAGACCTGGAGCCATGTCCTTGGTAAGCATCTCCTTCTGCGCATCATCTTTAGTGGCATCTAGGACCTGCAGCTCATGCGCGTGTATCTTCTCGTTTTGAGCTGGGCCCTCCGAGCCCGCATAACTTATGTTGTATAACCATCGTATAACCCTAAACCCTAAATGGTATAACCCTAAACTCGATACATAATCCCTTTTGCTTCTTAAATCCCTGCAAAGGTTGCTGAAGCCGATGCCATGAGGATGATGTCGCAGGACTTGGCTGTTGCCTCAGAGGGGGCGAAACAGCCGCTGTCATCTACTTTGCCTGCAGAGTTTAGGTAGCAGACTCTCCTAAAAAGAGGTTATATAGGGGATTATGCAGGGCTTAGGGTTTGGGGATCCACAGGTGCTGGAATGGGGTCCAACGCAGGGGAGTTTTCAACATCAGGGACTCCGCCCGCGCATTCCAAAAAATCATAGCAACCATGGCCCTTAACAAGAACCGAAGAAATCGCTCTTTTACAGACCCAAACTTTACCTTACAGGTTCTCAGCACGGAATACAGGAAGACATTATATAGGGACTATAGTCCCATGTCCCCTACTATCACTACAAATCAAGTACCCGACTGCCTGATTGTCTCTAAGGGATTTGGAACCCCAGTAGAAATTTTAATTTCAGCTAAATATTAGGATTCTAGGTAACGGAAATTAAACAACATTTTCAGGAACCTTGTAGTTGTGGCTGAGAAGCAATGACTTGCCTCCCTCTGCCTTTGCCGATCGAAGCACCTGGTCTCTCATGGAAATGGTCGGGGGGGGGGGGCTTTTCGCTCGAAACAAGGCTGCCATTGGGGACTCTATAAGGATACGTAAAGGTTAGTGGTAGGAGATGTCTCCTTGAGGATTACATATTCTCAGGGTTGATCTGAAAAACTCCCAAATGAGCTCCCTTGAACCACCCCAGAAACTGTCAGAAAGGATCGCTTGGTACGGTATCTGCCAAAAGCAGGGTCTCTGAAATGCACCTGCCTTACGAACAAGGTCCTCAAAGAGACGGAACTCGCACAAGACCTCCATCCTAGCACACACCAAAACAAGGTTAAGGATGAGGCCAACGATCAGGCCAGGAAGATCGAGCAGCTGGATTCTGACCTGCCGAAACGGCAGGGCGACGTCTTTCCACATAAGTTTCCGTCCTGTTGGGACTTAGTTAATAACATTCGGGCGCGTACAGGCTGAGCCCCATTCTGAGAAACAGCCACATCAAATCTCTGCAGCTGTGTGCAGCTCTGAGTGTCAGTCGTCGTTGTAGTAGATGACGCCAGGGATGCAAGTGAGCGTGGTGAACCTAGAAGGCTCTGAGGTGCACGGCGCAAACCTCAAGATGCTGGAAATGTCTACAAGGCCCCAGCTCATATGCAGCTGCCTCAGACCTGATCAAGAAGTCAGGAACGCCAAGCCCAAAGTTGTGAGGTCACGCTGCGACAGTCGCAAGTCATTGCATCTGCTTTCATGCGACAAGTAAGTCTTCGGCTGGACACCGGTCAGAGCAGTGAGCAGCGAGGATTTTCCGACAGACGGAAACCCGACAAGACCCACGCGGGCGTCTCCCATTCTCTGAACCTGGCGTTGTGCCGGAGATGCATGATCAAAGAGAACTACGCGGCGAGGCCGCGGGTCAACAGCGTAGGTAATGCGTAACTACGCCTCAAATCCTGCCGCTTTTCCACCGCCACCACCAGAAGGCTCAAGGATCTCTCGCTTCAGCTTGCAAAGCTTGGCTTTCAACCTGATCTCGCAAAGGCTACCACAACACGAAGAACTTATGCAGGTACGTACGTGACGACTTTCAATGCCTGCCAAGATGACAGACTCACCAAACTTCTCGTCCAGAGACATAGGTTAGGAGGACCCCCCACCCTGTAATAGTGACTATAAGGGAGAATAGGGATTATATTAGGGTCCTATTATATCCCTATTATGCCACTATTACAGGGAGGGGGGTCCTAAGACAAAGGCTTCAACCGTGAGCTGAAAACTCACCAAGAGACTCGCCCAGGTGCTTGGCTGTGGCCTCCCCACAGAGCCCAGGATGATGGAAAAGAACATGGAAACTACTATATAGTACATTCGGGTTATATAGGGATAATGGAAACTACTATATGGCACATTGGGGTTATGTAGGGATAATGGAAACTACTATATGGTACATTGGGGTTATATAGGGATAATGGAAACTACTATATGGTATATTGGGGTTATATAGGGATAATGGAAACTACTATATGGTATATTGGGGTTATATAGGGATAATGCAAAAAGTGGAAACTACTACATAATATATTGGGCCCAAATTGGGCACAAGACTGCAAGGCTGCACAAGTTAACCTCCTGGGCCTTGTTCTTCTGGGTGCGTGAGATTTCTAGCTCAATCTGCTGGATCCTTTCTATGGTGGAGCCGCCTGCAAGCGGAAGACGGCTTGATGTGCTTACAAGGCAAGCCAAGAACCGCCCAAGCCTCCACCAGCAGCTTGATGCTTTGCTTTCGACCATCCTCCGCCACCCACTCCAGTGCCCGCCTGCGCGTCAGATTCAAGGACTTGCGAGGGTTTAGGGTTTAGGGTTTAGGGTGTCGTTTGAGAGGTTCCTTCAAAGATACCCCATCAGATTGCCTTCACATAGAAAGTTAATAGCCCCTGTAACCCCCTTATGAACCTACTTACAAAGGCCTTCTGACCCTCCAAGTAGGATCCCTAAACTCCTGAACCTTAAACCCTAAACCCTAAGCCCCAAGAATCCATAAGTAGCTCTCTGATTATCCTGGACTCGGAGAGGAGAACGTCTTAGGACTTCAAGGCACTCGGAAAACGCAGTAGAGCTGCTCAGGCTTTAGGATGGAGTGACTGGTGACATAGGGGGCTACGTAGTAATAACAATAGTACTGAAACTGAAACTAGAAATGATAAGAGGAGTAGTAGTCATATTAATGATACGAAGAGTAGCAGTAATCATAATAGGAATACAAATAATATATGTAGGATTGACGCTACTGGATATACATCCCCAAAAGCCGTCCTCTTCACTATCTTTCCGAGCTGCACATTTGATCATGGGGCCGTGTTTATGCGAGCACCCGTGCACATCTAGCTGGAAAACAATAAGAAATGAGAGCTTCTCAAAGAAAAGGGGGCGGGGCAACAATATAGATCCCAAAATTCGATAGTCCTTCCTATTCGGACCGCCAAAACAGTACTCCTAATGTGCAAGCCTCCATCTGTGATCACAGGGAAAGCAAAAGCTAAGAGCCTTCGAGGAGCTCTTGGAAAAGGATGCCATCAATGCAAGGGCACTCTATTATACTCTGGTAGGTATACAGCATGGGCTTGTTTGTCTTCTGGCTCAAGGTTGCTTGCCATTTCTGCAAAACAGGGGCACGGCTTGGGGTAACCGGCAAATGGTCATGTTGCGTCTGAGAGACATCTCTGCTTTGGAGCAACGCTGCTCCGTGTCTACTTTCTTGCCCCATGCAGAATAAGAATAATGGCAATGAAAACAGTAGCAATAATACCATAATAACTCCATGCAGAATAAATTTACTGGCAAGAATACGAGTAGTAATAACACCATATGTATACGAAAAGTAATGATCATCATAATTGACTTTGAAAGCTGTCAGGTTTGAGCCTCAGGGATTCTTGCAGCTGGCCAGAGCCCCAAGGCTGGCATGACAAGAATAAACTCTGCATCAAAGCAGTCTGCTTGGGATAGCCCCAATATACTATAGTAAGTTACATGTTCTTTTCCTTTATTCCCTTTATACAACCCCCAGATATACCCTAAATCCTAAAGCCTAAACCCTACAACGCGTGCTGACGCAAGGCTCTGCAAGCAGAAATCCTTGTTTTGTTCCGCAGCCGTCAGCCCGGAGGAGCCTCAGGGTACTGCCAAACAGAGGCCCCTGTGGGCGTGAAACCCAGACGGGAGTAGAAGGACATCGCCTGCCAAGGCATGCGGTCACAATGGGCTTGAAGATGCATAATACAATAATATAGTATAATTTAAACATAACTGCAGTATAGTACTTTCTAGTTCTATTACAATATACACATAGCTGTAATATAGTATGAAAACAATTTAAGAGAATATGAATATACTGTCTTATTTGGGGTGTATGAGCTGCCCATGGCTGCTCCACGGGACAACACCTTGGAGTCCTGGAAATGCCACAAGACATGGAAATTACAATTTAGGGTTTAGGGTTATAGTCCCCCTTAAGTAGATAGAATATGGCTTTGGGTATTTCATAATAAGATCCCCATTAACCCCATGTTCTATCTGCTTCAATGTGACTATACTACAGTAGTTACAGGCTCCTTCAGGATACCTAGGGTCATACAAATTCCTACATGTGAACCTTAGCACTTGAACAACCTGACTTGTAACCCAGACCCCTGATGAATAAACCCGCTCCCCTTAATAGGGATTATAATTGGGATCCTAATATCAGAGCCCGTTAAAGAAGGGCATTTATGAATCATAGCTCTACATTAGTAGCCAGTCTTCAGGTCTTGCGCAAGGAAGCCCTTTCCACAGCATCACGCTGCCCCATGCTTTGAGCCGACAAAGCCAATGCCCCCTCAACCCATGAAATCGAAAACGCTCTATCTAGGGGTTCCCAAAAGAAGGGGTACCTTTTCGGGGGTCCCGATAATAAGGCTTATAGTAAATTGGGGTTTATATTGGTTTAGCTGGTTCTAGCTCTACTACATGATTTAGGGTCTAAGACCTAGGGATGATTATCCCAAAAGAGGGTGATGTAGGGGTAATGGAAAAGAAAATGGAAACTATCATTTAGGGTTTATAGGACTTAATTAGGGATTATTATCCCAAATGGAAAAGAAGATGGAGAATGAAATGGAAACTCTGCTCATCGGCCCTGTCCCGCCTGCTCATTGCTCTCCAGGCAATACCTAGGCTCTACGTTTGGGAAAACCCTGTTAAGATAACAAATCCTGTGTCTCCATCTACCGAACAATTACCACACTTCTGGGCAGATTATACGAGCGGCGGCTTTTATTTGTTACCTGGACCTTATGCGGCATGTTCAATCCACGGCCCTCATCTCATTCGCCTTATATCTAAGCATATATCGTACCTTGACAGAATCACTTGATATCGTTCGCCATGTTGGAGTATATACTGGGCTCTCACTATACCCTAACCCCTAACCCCTAAACCCTAAACCCTAAGCCCTAAACTCCATTATTGCAAAGGAATATGCAAATTCGAGTTGCCAGCACAGTTCCGCCAGCTCCGCCTCTCGACAGGTGGCGAGAACCTTGGCCATGAGGGCCTGAGGCTCAGGAAGGTTTAGGGTTTAGGGATTTAGGGTTTAGGGTTTAGGGTTTTAGGGTTTAGGGTTTTAGGGTTTTAGGGGTTAGGGTTTTGGGTTTAGGGCTTCGTCTAGCTGGGGCATACTTTAGGAGGACCCCCCCACCCTGAAATAGTGGTATACTAGGAATATAATAGGACCCTAATAGAATTCCTATTATCCCTTACAGCCACCTAAGTCATATTTATGGAATTTGTAAGGATTCCGCAGGGCAGCTCGTGCAACCCTAAAACCTGAAATTGGAGCTTCCAAAGCTAGCCTTGTTCTACTGCTGCGAGATTCAAATTATTATATGATAGATCCAGTCTTCAAATCCTTTTGGATCTTATAGTTTCCCTAAATTAATATAGACCCCTATGCTACTATGATCCTTTTTATGGGGACCCCAAAAATGGACCCCTAATATTAGGAAACCCAAAGTAGGGAGAGCAAGCCATGAAAGTCGAGCCGCTCGTCCAACACCCTTACCTGAGGTCTGACAGACACTCCAGGTCGGCTGTTATTCGGGTTGCCGTTCAGGAACTTAATTGAAGCTACCATCTTACGGGTATACGGTATACAGTATACAACAGGGTTCCATCTTAATAAAGTTCCTTAACAGCAGCCCAGCGATATGCGCATTGGTAGGTTTCCCTACCTTACTGTATGGGAACTGAGATTAGGCTAGCAGACCGGGGGGCGCCTTCTACCCCTGTTCGGGCTACGAACGAGCATGCTGCAGGATCCGTATTGCCTCATTGGGGTTGCGCTGGAATGGGGGACCTGCATGCGCACTTTTTAGGGCCCTTGCGTAGAAAGTCTGAGTGGAACCAGTAGCAATTTTTCCGCTACCCGTGTGACCATGGCTTCCGCAATGCTCATGTAAGTACCAATGCCTGTCAGCCCCATGCTATCGCTCTTAAGAGACGAAATCAGCTCGTCCCGACTTAGATTTGGGGAGGCATTGCAGGAAACTTTTTTTGCAACGACTATATACGGATTGTAGTAGGGATTGTGCTGCATGCGAAATTAGAAATCTGGTTTGGATATGGTTGGATCCATCCCAGGAGCCATGCGCAGCAGGCATGACGAGCAAATCGCTGAGAAAACCGCGCAGCCCGCCGCCTGAAGCTTTTCAGGCATCGTGGCTGGTTTGCCCCAGAGTAGAGCAGCTGCCTAGAGAATCACGCCATTTGCTTTGTTTGGCCAGAGGTCCTTTGTTTGGCGGGCGCCCTTTTCTCGATATCTCTTTTCTCAGCAGGCATGCCAGCCTGCAGTTGCGCCAGGGGTGGGTATCCGAGCCAAAGTTGCAGCCCCAAGCAGGGTACCATCTTCTGCGCGGGCCAGCAAGATGTCTGCAGTCCTTGGAGGTCGTGCTGGGAGTGACATCCTCTTGCTACTGCAAACTGGCCTGCCTGGAATGCTTTCTGCTCATAGCTCCGAGTACTAGTAGTTGATTAAAAGCTTCAGCTCTTTTTGCCAACGTTGCTCAGGCAGGCAAGGGTCCTGACATCCGGCGGCCCATGAGGGCAGCCCATGCTCCACACCTTAGCAAGCCATAGGCTCATGCACCTACTTGTACCATGCTTGAAAAAGCTTTCTGTGCAAAGCAGATGTGAGGCTCTCATCTGAGTCTGCCAACAAGAGAGAGGTAGATTCAGCTGAAATGAGCTAATGTGGTGTGTCGAACGCGCCTTCTGGCTGAGTTTTAGGCAAAATGTCTAAGACATGTGCTGTTGTCCCGCTCCTGTTGGTGTCTTCTCATTCTGCAAAATCGTGTGCTTTTGGGCAAAGTACAGGGCGTTGGATTTTTAGTAGTTGACGAAGATTGTACGAGGCTTGCATGCGGTCCCGTGCTGGCCAAACCCTGAGAGCTAGAGCATTCTCGAGCATGAGTCGCTTCAAGCTGTTCATGTCAGCAGCACAGGGGCTTATGCTGGAGATGCATTTCCGTGATACTTTCACATGTTGATTCTCTGCACAGTATAGAATTTGAGTTGCCAAGCCTGCAGTGTCTTCATTCTTACAAATTCGTGTTTCGTGTGTTTCTGCGCAGCTTACTTACGCGATTATGGCATTTCATTTGCTGCAAAGTTTTTACGAGGCGTGCATCTTGTCCCACGCTGGCTAGTGCTTTGAGCATGTCACGAGTTTAACGGCCGAATTTCGAATAGAGTATTACCGGACACGGTGCGGTTCATCTGCTGATTCCGTTGTTGGCATCGCGCCAGCTTGTCGTGCTGTGGCATGCTCAGTCTGGCGCCGCTTCAGCAGCCACCTCATCGGCAGCATAGGGTGGTGAGCCATGCGGTACCCTTGGCATTAGCAGGGAGTCTCCGCACCTAGTTACAAGTCAAAAGCCACATTCACAGACTAAGTGTTCTATGAATGTTCATCACTACTTGTCCCTAGAAGCCTCTACATACCCTTTAGCCCAGTCCTTGACATGTTGAGGAGCTCAGTATCCTGCTCCTTTAAGGCCAAGCCTCTGTGAGGCTCGGTACTCCACGAAGAGACTTTGCCAGGCAGCTCGGTCCTCAACCGTGGCCCGAGAGACGCTGACCACCTGCTCTCTACTGGAATGTAGCTTCAGGGATTTCTATGGATATACACATAAATAATCATATGTATGTATGTATGTATGTATGTATGTACGTACGTACGTACGTACGTACGTATGTACGTATGTACGTATGTACGTATGTATTCATGTATTTAGTGCATATAAAAGCCCAAAAGTTAAGAATCAGACAGAAATGCTGGAATATGAAATGGATGTTTGACCACCTGATCTCTGCTGGAAGCTTGACAAATCCAACTTCCGGACCATAGTTCATTACTATTGCTGTCTGTTGGTACTGCCGTTTGATTTCACGGGTCATAATATGTACGCATATGCAGAATAAGCAGATACACAATAAACATATACATATACACATAATATCTCACAGGCAATCCGCGTTTCAATCCGAACTCTTCACTTGGGACCTACCTTGCTCTGCTCACTGCCCAGCGGTAGAAGCTCGGGCTGCATGGAGAAGAAGGCCACCGGGTATCGCTTCTTAGCTTCGAGCTGCACTTCCACACAAGACCCATACTTGGTTCCAGCAAGGGGTTTAGGATATATGCCATTGCGGAGGACCCAGCATTCTCTGATATTTCGGAATATTCCAAGTGTAGACATGCGGAAGGCGCTCTCTGAAGCACAGCTTAATGAAGCAACATTAGAGTAGGGAATGTGGAGCCTTTCTTACTGCGGCCCGGCTCCTGTACTCATGGCGCAGACTTCTAACCTCAGCATTGGCCTTGCATTTAGCAGGAAGCGGCCACCATTCAGACAGCAAACTGCTCCAATCGGATCAGGTCCCGCATCATGAAGCACGAGGCGTATGAGCCTCTTCCAAGCAAGGTCGCAAAACAACCATTGGGGGGGAGTCCAAAATTAGAATCCCATTTTGGTACCCCTGAAAATTCGGTGCCACAATCTGATCTATACCAGCAAGGGGTCCATAATTTTGAGACTAACCCATCTGGTCAAAATGGATGCGTCAAGAGATCCCCTGCCTCCACGAAGGATGCGTCTTGCGCAATTGCACCGAGATATCGGGGAGTGCGGTTGCCTTTTCAGGCGAATCCTGTGAATTCTGTGCCAAAATCTTGAAATAGTTTCCATGCTCTTTTCCATTATCCCTATATAACCTGATTATATAATCCCTACATAACCCTGTTTTTCCATTATCCTGATATAACCCCAATACATACCCTATTATAATATAGTAGTTTCCATTTTCTTTTCCATTATCTCTATATAACCCCAATATACTATAGTAGTTTCCATTTTCTTTTCAATTCTCTATATAACCCCAATATATACC